AAAAAAAAAAACAAACAAAATGCGCCTCAGCGCTCAAGAGCTGCACTGAACCGGACCGCCAGACTCAGCGGTGAACCCGAGAGCTCCTAGCCAGCCCACGAGGACTTCAGAGTGGGACGCACGCCGCTGAAGGTCCGGCACTCCATCCGGAGCCCACTGTGACTTTTTTCATCTCTTTCAACCGGCCGACGAGGACCTTCGAGCAGGGACACACTGTGGTACGTAAAATTTAGTAGCTACGTATGTTGTTAAAATTAGTAGGTTTAAGAGTTTAGCTCATTGATTGTGGGCTTTGTCGCACTGGAACTGAAAGACGCTGCTGTTCTGCAGAGCTGGTAAGTAAAATTTAGTAGCTACATATACAGTACTGTACGTATGTTGTTAAAATTAGTAGGTTTAAGAGTTTAGAACATTGCAAGAGTGTGGGAAGGGTTTATAAAACCTTAAAATATATATAAATACTAAAATAAATATAACATTGCTACTTGGCAGAATTTCACTTACTGCGGGCGGGATTGGAACCTAACACCTGCAATAAACGAGGGACTACTGTTTTATGACCAGGCAGCTGAGAGACACAGCTAATGTAAAACACACCTGACATAAAAGAAGTAAGTGAAAATAATCGAGAGCAGGTGGAGGAAATTGATAAAAAGTTGCTTGAAGGAATGTACATCACCAACCACTTTACGTGACAAACTTTTAAACAAAGAGCTTGCTGAGGAAGACCTTTAGCTATTACCACACCAAAAATAAGCTCAATATTTATCAAACTGACCGAGTTGCAGACATTTTTGTGTTTGCTAAAACTGATTAGCTGTAGCAACCATCTTGAACTGGTTTGACACCAAAAGTTGGTCAGATGTAGATGTACAACCAATGATTAATTTGTGTGAGTTTTATTAAAATCGGTTCTGTGGTTCATAAGATATTTTGCTAACAGACAGACTGGGCTGACTTCAGCAGTTAATGGCAAAGCTTTAAACACAGATCACATGCAATCTATTGGCACATAAAATATATGTTTGGGATAACTCTCAATTATCACCATGCCAGATTTAGTCTCGACATGTGTAAAACTGACCGAGTTACAACCATTTTTATGATCGCTAAAGTCAATAAGCTGCGGAGGCCATCTTGAATTGGGCCGACTACAAACAGTTAAACAGCTGCAAATGTACATCCAGAGTTTAATGTCTTAGTTTTAATAAAACCTGTCCACTGGTTTACGAGACATTTTACTAATAGACAAAAAAAAAAAAAAAAAAAACACACACACACACATACGCAGGCAAAAACATTATCACCCATTTTAATTTCTTGGTGACAGGCGAAACATTAAAAATGAATTTGTTAAATAATTTTCACCTAAAGAGAAATGATAGAGAGCGACCACGCTAACTTTACCGTCAGGCCTTAATGAGCGTCTCAGACTAAAACACAAGATAGTCAGTTTGTATTTAATGTGGGGACACACCAGGCTAGATTTGACTTGTGTGAAGTGATCAGACTCAGTTTTTTTGCATAACTTTTTTCCTAAACTTCCACAGCAGCCAATACTGAAATAAGGTCTCTTCAGAAAAAATGCAAAAAAAAACATAATACAGAAAAATAATAAGAGGTAGAACGTTATCCATACCTGAGGTAGGACACTGTTGGACGACTGCGTGGTCTTCTCATCTGAGGTGACAGAAAACACAAAGAGTTACAGCAGCTGAAGGGTTGTCCACTCAGAGCTGCAGACCAGCTACAGCTGTTTCGGTCTGTTAGCAGAAACCTTCAGAACCAGGAAGTGTTTCATAATAAGATCATATTTAATCACAGTCATCATCATCTTGCACATCCTCCATTGTTTGACGTGGTGAAGCTGGTTTCAAAAAGATAGAAAAGCTCTTCATTCAAGATTTATACTCCAAAGTGGAACTATTAAACAAAAAATACTTTTTTTTTGGTTATAAAACAATGATTCATTCACATAGTTAAAGAATGTCTTTAACATCTGAGAGATGTTTTTAATTATTTTGAGTTTGTAAAGCCAGCTAAACTGGAAGGTCCAAAGAGGATAATTTTGCAGCTTGGAATTAAAATTGCTGCTTAATTTAATCCCATTTAATCAAATTACACATAGGCAGTTCTAAGGGATGACCAGTGGTAAATTGAATAAGGTTTAATTCAGGTTATGTGGGGTTTAACAGAGTTAGAATAAACTGTTTTGAAAAATCAATCATTTTGTGACTGTGCCAGCGTCCAGACGTAATATGTACCGTATTTTTCGGACTATAAGGCGCATTTAAAATCCTTTAATATTTTTAAAAACCGACAGTGAGCCTTATAATCAGGTGTGCTTTATGTATTAATTCTGGTTGTACTTACTGACCTCAAACCGATTTTATGTGGTTATTGTGAATGAGTTGAATAAAGTTTGGCTTTATCAGTTTTGTTTCGCTTAACGCATCTTATAATCCGGTGCGCTTCAAAGTCAGAAAAATACGGTAATTAGTTTATTTAGTAACAGGGACGGGGATTCTAGTATCAGGTGCATCACAGCCATGGGCCACTCTGAATCACTTTTTGAATGTCAAAAACATCGATTCTGTTGACATCAATCTGTGCTGCCACTTTAAGGGAGTCAGCAGAATAACTGCTGAGTGTGTGTTTACACTTTTTTTAATCTTTTCTTCACTGAACGTTGATGAATATGTCTGTAAATAACAGTTGAAGTTATCCTTATGTCTTTAGTAATGACTTTGAAATAGTTGATTTATTTATTTTCCAGTGAATAACACAATAAATTAGATTTTCTATGGCGTTTTCAATGGTAAATTGGCATCTAAGCTCATGGCCAGTAGACTGAATAATGTTGTTTTTTTGGCAGATGTATTTGTGTGCTCTGAACACAAGTCTGTGTTCCTCTACATAAAATAAGCCATAATCATTTCCATTTGTAAATTTGTATTTCTGTCTTCGTATTTCAGCTTCACCAGCTTTCTCCTGGTGTTTATTCACAAACCTAATCATCACAGATAATCAAGATGCATCAATAATCACTTTATAATCACATCCCAGCCCTCTGAATCATTTTCAAACTGAATCGCGAGGTGCTTAAAGATTCCCACTACTACTCACAGTAGCCTTTATTCAATTAATGCGAAAGCACCCTAAATTATCCAACCACCCCCTCCCTAACGGCAAACAAGGACCTTTATTGGACTTGGACGCCTGGCTGGGTGGTGGGACTTTGGTTTGTGCGGTCAGCAACAACTCGTATGTGTGATCCTCCTCTTCTTCAGCAGGCTCTCTCCTTTCATCCATGCTGCTGTTTGGAAAAGTGGCCTGAAAGAACGAAACAAAACAAGGCGCTGGTGAGGAGATGCAGCAAGGGGCTGTTTAGCATTCATGGGCGGAGGTGCTCTTTGCTGTAAATGTCTCCTTCAGGGAGGAAAATGGAAACTCTGAAACTAGTTTGGCATCCTCTGAAGTCAGCCACAGTTCCTCCTCCGGCCGCTGACCCTAATGCAGCACTCAGATGAATATTTAGTAAAATGTGATGAACTAAGCCGTGAGGAAGAGAGACATTCTAAGTGAAGCGTAATGATTTTCTGTCAGCCTCCTGTTAGCGTCTCCCTAACAAACTGTGTCGAGCCTTACACAGAGGTTCACGTCTGACTTCAGTCATCTGACCACCATGACTGCTAAAAGGGAAGCAAGTGAGAATCTTTGCTGCTGGGG